AAACCCYGCTCTTCCCCTGGCCAGGCTCGTCCCTCCCGGCAGGCTCAGGGTGCAGTGTCCTGTTAGCCTCTTCTGGTGACCAGAACCAGCAACAGCAGTAAGGACGTGGCCACCCCGGGGACCGGAGCCCTGGGAGCAGGTGTGGATGTCATTTCATGGTGTTCCTGGGTGGTTCTCCCTCTGCGAGCCTGAGAACCCCCGAACCACAGCCACTCAACCTGAGAAACAAAACTGGAGCTTTGTGGTGGCAACTTGCATTTCCCACAGAAAAACGGCACAGAACACAATTTACACCCTGAGCAAACCAAGACGAGCAGGCTGTCGCGACTGTCCTGACTGCGGAGCAAAATCTTGGGCCTGGTGCTGGGTGGCCTGGCTACGAAGGTGAGGCGGATCTTTGGGGTTAGGATGTGAGGAAGTCGCTGTGTTTCCATCACAGGTCACTAGGAAATTGACCACCTCGTGAAGTTGGTGTGATTTTCCTTTAAATTCTTGCTGGGTTCTGTCTGGAGAGCCAGCGCCTGGGGTCCTGCCGCAGGCAACTGGTAAACCCAGCTCTGCAGTCGCCACCCACCCAGCTCTGCAGAGTCCCCTCCACTGCTCCACGCGGCAAATCCCGCCCGCCCACAGACCCCTCCCCTCCTCCACCACAAGGGTCCAGACAGCCGCCCTCCCCTGGATCTACCACCTCCCACCTGCCCCCCCAGTGTCCCCTGCAGTGAACTCTCCAGGCAGCAGCCTGTGTGGGCCTGGTGCGTCCCTCCAGTACTCAGGACCCAGCTGACTCCCATCTCAGAGATGAGCCCAGTGTCCACCATGACCCAGGAGACGCCCGTCCCACTGCCCAGCCCTAACTGGCCCCTGCTGCTCTCCCACCCAAATAGTCACTAGTAATGGTCCCCAGCCCTCAGGATCTTGCACAGCTGTCSTCTCTGGACACCTCCCTGGGCCTGTGAGCCCTGCACACTGCCGGCTAAAACCTCCAGATCTAAGTCAGCAAAGGCCAAGCCCTCGGCTTAGGTTCCCAAAACAAATCACATTGCATGGGAGCAAACACCTGGTTCCTGTGACAACCGTCCAGCATGAAGCTGAGGCCCGAGGTGTCCAAGTGCATCCTCAAGTCCAGYGCCTCAAGATCTGGGCCCAGGAGGCCTGTGCACAGCTGTGGGGCCACAGGCAGAGGAGGGGGCGCAAAACGGGAGGAAGCTGGGGTCGGGACACCACGTCCACACACTCGGGTTTGTCATGAGGAAGGAGAGAGGTGGCAGCTGCGGTAGGGCTCAGGACAATGACATGGGAAGAGGACCTGTGTTCAGGGTGACAGGAATTTTCTTTCCACCCAAAATGGCACCAGTAGGGCCAGAGGGTAGGTGGAGAAGGTGCCCAGGGAAGGAGGGAGGGCCTGACCCTGTGACGAAGACGCTGGCGCTGGCGGCTGTCACACAGGGTCCAGATCCGGCCCCTGGGCTGCCGAACACGAAATGAGTTCTGCCCAGACAGTGGCAGGGGCCCAGGGGGAAGCCAAGGGGACGCTGTCTGCCTCCCCGCTAGAGGCAGAGCGAGGGCAGCTGGAGGGCCCCAGGACAGGCCTGCACCATCAGCCCCACAGGCAGGGGCTGGGCTGCGGGGTGGCTGGGAGAGTGACGACACCGACACATGCACAAGAAGTCACACTTTATTTCTACAGCAGAACCCACAGCAGCATTTCACAAGCAGGGATTTGGGGGATTGGAGTCAACGTACACGTACGGTTTGTGAGCGTGCCCACTTCAGAGGGTCTGCAGAGGGAGGAAGCCGCTTCGTGCTCACAACAGGACACACTGTGAACAGCGACAGTGCCCTTCAGGCTGCTTCAGACTTCTGAACCAAGTAGAGAAGACCCAGGCCTAGCAAGGTCCCTGTCCCGCCTCCAAGAGACCTGGGAGCGGCATGAGGCTGGCACCCACAACCCTCCCCGCCCGGCAGCCCTGGGGAGAGGCGGCTCGCGGTCTCTGGTGCATTCGGGTTGTAACAGGTTTGGCAAAAACAGCACAAGGGCCCAGTCCATGGTCACCCGGAGGATCGTCACCTCTCCTGTCATTTGCTCCAAGGTACAGCCACAGTCACTTTCCTCTTGCTTTTCCAGGCTCTGGGGGTGGGAGTGGGTGGCCTCAGGACTGGGAGAGTCTGATGGGGAGATCCCTGGCCATCTGTCAGGGTGGGAAGAGCCACTTTGGAAAGAGGCCAGGCCGCAGGGCACTATCAAGGTGTCCAGCCCCAAGTCCCGAGCAGTCCTAGCTCTGGCCAGCCTGGCCCTGTGGTCCCTGTGGTCCTCACCTGAAGCGCCTGATCTCGTGGACCTGGGGCAGCTGATGGTGGGGCCTAGGCAGACCCTGTGGCCTCGAGGTCTTGGAGACCCATGTCATGTGCTGCCCATGTGGAAGGAGAGGGGCCTGGCGCACACCGGGCATGTGGGGCCAGGGGCAGCGCAGGGCAGCGGCAGAGCCCAGCCCAGGAGGACCAGCTGGTGCAGCTGATCTGTAGGGTGATCTCAGGGAGCAAGGCCATAGACCTCTGGAGCTCACGGATGGACAATGTCCCCAGTGTCCCAGGGCACAGACCCCTACCTGAGGGCCTCTCAGTCCCTCTGCCCCTCACCATGCTGCCTGCAGCGAGTGCAGGACCCTCCTTTGGCACCTCCTGGTGGGACAGGGATGCCAAGCAGCGGCCCTGGGGAGAAGACTGAGGGACAACAGTGGAGACAGGTGTTGGGCTCTCAGCCGCCTTCCCTGCTCAGGGCTATAAATACGCATGCAAATACTAAGTGCTCTGCGACATTTATCATAAATTACAGGTGGATGATTGTGAGTCTTCAGGCCTCAGGGAATATTTTAGGTCTTCCAAAAAAAAAAAAAAAAAGGGACAAACTAACCAGATCTGGCAATGGCCGCCCGGGCTGTTGCTGGCGGGGAATAGCGGCTGGCCTGAAGTGACTGCGCTGAGCGGGTGGGGCCTGGTAGTGGAGGAGCAGACGACCCAGGCCCAGGGCAGGAGTGACAGCTGGAGGACGGGTGCCCTTGTCCCTTCCCAGGCTGACCCTATTCCGGGGCAGGGTGTATAATTTTAGGACCTGAGTGATGAAGACGGGGAGGGCCCTCCTCGGGCTTTCTGTGCGCCTGCCCCGGCCCCTGCTTTAGCCCTGGAGAGAGCCTGGCCAGGGAGACGCGGGCATGCGGGGTCCAGCTGCCCTGAGCCCAGGAAGCGGGAGTGTGGGCCTCAGCGTGGGGTTGGACGGGCAGCCGGAGCCCCGGAGCCCCGGAGGAGGAATCCAAGGGACACCAGGGACCCACCACGAAGACTCACCCTCCCTCCCCTCCCCCCTCAGCCTCACTTCCTGGGGAACACTGTGGCCGAACACTGTGGCCCCAAAAAACTTCCCATGCTCTCACACAATGGGGGCCTCTGAATCCACCCAGTGCTGGGCATGACGGGGCCCACTCCAGGGAGGTGGGATGACCAGTGGCCCTGCAGGCGTCGAGACCCCCCTCCTCCAGTGACTCTGAGCCACAGCGGGCACCAGGAAGACTTGTAATTTAATATCATAATGACGACACCCGTGGTGGCGCAGAGCCGCGGACGGCAGCTTAAAGTCCCAGGGCCACTAATGAGTCCTGCTGGAGCTGTCGTCAGGATGGACACCAGAGTTGATGGCCGCAGCCGCCAAACAAATGGAGCCTGAGCCTGGCCTGCGTCCGCCATCCCGCCCGGTGGAGGGCAGGTCCACCCTGCAGCTGCTGTGCCCAGGACCTCGAGCGCCAGGAGCATTGGTGACACGGAAAGCAAGAGTGCAGCCAGCGAGGAGAGGCCCCAAGAGCTGCCCTGGATGCGCTTTCCCTCTTTRGCGCCCTCCTCCCTGTCCCAAGGGGGCGCTCAAGGGCGGTCTGTGACGGGGACCTTCCATCTCTATCACCAAGTGGCCTCTGCTTCTTCCTGTGGATCACACTCTCCTTTATTCCCGCTGACTCCAGAAAAGCTCAGTGGCCACAATTTTGTTATCTTCTAAATTAGAAAGAAGGTGAGGCTGGCGGGCACAGCAGCGAGCATCTGGGGCGATGGCTAACTACTGAGCAATTTTCGCACAATTCAAAACTCATTTTTTTTTTTTGGCCAAGGAATCAGTCTAACAAACACATCCCACTCTTGCTGAAAATCTCTCTTCCCAACTCTTCTAGGAATGAGACACTTTTAATGTATTTGTCAGGAATCGACACTTCATTTAATAAGATTTTAAAAGCGACAATTTAAAGAGCATTGAGAAGCGCCCCGCACCGGTCACGGGCTCAGGGTTCTAACTAGAATCAGGAGAGAAACAGGACCCAGGGCGCAGGGAATCGCGGGTG